TACGTATGTATATGTATATTATATGTATATATAAATTAAAATTTTTTTTAGCATTTTCATATAATAATATTTAAGTGTAGGGACACCTGACAGTCACACACAGACACACTGAAGGATTGACACTGCTTCTGTATTGTGTGTGTGTGTGTGTGTGTGTCTGTGTCTGTGTGTGTCTCTCTGTGTGTGTGTGTGTGTGTGTGTGTGTGTGTGTGTGTGTGTGTGTGTGTGTGTGTGTGCGTGCAGGTGCAGGAGCGTGTTCACTCGGAGCTGGATGAGTGTGTGGGTCAGGCTCGTGCTCCGTCTCTGAGCGATCGCTCTCATCTGCCGCTCCTGGACGCTGTTCTCTGTGAGGTGATGCGGATCCGTCCCGTCAGCCCCGTCCTCATCCCACACGTTGCTATGCAGGACACCAGGTAACCATGGCAATACTGGAGTGAAACCGGCAGGTTACCATGGCGACGAGGAGAAACCATAATTAGAATATCAGATTCTAGCACAAGGAAACATTTCACTGCTGCAAAACTTCTGAGACACTCGACACACACGCACACACACACACAGACACACACACACACACACTGGTTTTTATACTGTACAAACCATATTTTCTATTGCCCTACACCTAAACCTACGCCTTACAGGAAACTTTCTGCATTTTTAGATTTAAAAAAAAACTAATTCTGAATGATTTAGAAGCCTTTTGAAATACGGGGACACTCAAAATGTCCTCATAAATCACCTTCTCGTTGTAATACCTATGTCATACCCATGTCATTATACATGTTTGTGTCCTCATAAATCACAAAAACGCACACACACACACACACGCAGACACACACTCTCACACACACACACATACACACACACACACACACACACACAATCGTTTTTTAGACAAAATCGGTACGTCTCAAATCTGATCCTCGGGATCTTTTGAGGAGCGTTTGTTTCCAGAAGCTTTACTTTCACTGTTCCTCAGCGGAGGAATGATCTTCACAAGCCTCCAGAACATCTCACATCTTCTGAGGAGCCTTTATTTCTTCAGCTCAGTCATATTTTCTGTCAGTATCTGCTGTACATAGTGATGCTGGGTTTGCAGTGAGATGTCTGATTACCCATAATGCCTCTGTGCTGCAGTTTGGGGGGTCACTCTGTTCCTAAAGGAACCCGTGTGCTGGTGAACATGTGGGCGATTCACCACGACCCCAAACACTGGGACGAGCCTGAGCAATTCAGACCCGGTAAGAAAATCATTCATTCTGCTCAGAAACCATATTTTGGCACTATAAAATATATAAAATCATATCATATGCACACAGAAACTCAAAGGTCTTCCTGACAAACTGCCAAAATAAAGGTTCAGTTGTGAAGGAAATGTATTCCTACAAATAAAAGTAAATGTTACATTTTCATTTGAGTAAATTGGATTAATTTGTTAATATTTTTTGCCTTCATTTGATTACCACCTAATAATAAATTTGCATTAAATCCATACATTTTTAAAACGGACAACAAGGAACTTCTGAATAGAATAAAATAAAACATTTAATAGGATCCTATTTTATTGTGTAAAAAAATAATAAATTAGACATACTTTTTAATTATTAAAATTGATTTGAACCAAAAACAACCATTTTATTTGAACCATTAAAATGGAACCCAGAACACTTAAAAGGGAAACACAGAATTAGGGGAAAATATAAAAGTATATTTTTGGGGAAATACAACAGATTTCATAGGGCCCTAAAAATGTAATATGTTGATGTTAAATTTCGTTTACAAAATACGTTGCATGACTTGGGTTAATTAGACATGCTTTTTGATTACTAACTTTAATTTTAGCCATTTAAAACACAAACCTGAGAGATCTAAAATCAGAAAAAAATGTTATCCAGTAAAACTTTAAATGGAAAAACTTAAATATATCCGGGAAAAAATAAATCAGATTTCATAGAGCCCTAAAAATGTAATTTTTATTTCACTTGATAAACAGTTGTTAAATTGTTTCATGAAAATGTCATGATTTCATTTAATTAAACATCATAAATTGGAAACTGATTATTAAAACTGAATCCAGAAAAAAAAGTAAATGTGGAAAAACTGAATTCAAAATAAATAAGCAAGTAAGTATGTAAGTAAATAAATAAATAAACAGTATAGAGAAAAATGTAAGTAGAATTTGGGATAAAATAAAACTTTTGTATACCTTTAAATAAAATTGTTAAATGTCATAAGTTGCGTGCTTTCAATTAATTGTGCTAAAATTGAATTTAACTAAAACATTATCCAGAAAAACAAGAAGAAAAAAAATCCAGAAAAATTAAAGTGGAAAAAATAAAAGTTAATTTGGGGAAAAAATGTAAATGGGTCTCATAGAACCCAGATAAAGTAAAGGATGATCAGTCTTATTGTGCATCAGTCAGACTGTAAGACTGATGAAACACGGGGCAACTTTTTGAGCAATTTTGCCGGACACATTTTTTTTTGAACAATGTTGCTTGGGCACCTTCCCATTGAGAATGGGTAACAAATTGCTATCTGGATATTTTAGATCGGTCGTGGGCCCTGTATCTCACCTGGTTGCTCGTTGACGTCAACATTGTTCAAAAAGTTGCCCCGTGTATCATCAGCCTAAATGTTTCATGTTCCTGTATAGCTGTGTTCTGGATTATTTGAGCTGCAGATGTTTGTGAAACACACACAGCTGTAATTTAATCTGTGAACTCCGCAGAGCGGTTCCTGGACTCGTCGGGGAGGAGAGTGACTCCGAGCAGCTTCCTGCCATTCGGAGCCGGTCCGCGGGTCTGTGTGGGAGAATCTCTGGCCAGAATCGAGCTCTTTCTGTTCGCCAGCCGCCTCCTGCAGTGCTTCCACTTCAGCGTCCCGCCGGGGGCTTCTCTGCCCGAGCTGCAGGGACGATTCGGTGTGGTGCTCCAGCCTCAGAGCTACAGCGTCACAGTCACACCGCGACACTGACACACACACTTATACACACACACACACACTCTCGCACTCACATGCACTCACACACACAGACTTATACTCACACACACACACACAAACACACTGACTCACACTGAAAAAAACGTATTTTCTATCGTCCTACACTAACCCTACCCCTTACAGGAACATTTCTGCATTTTTACTTTCTCAAAAAAAAAAAAACTAATTCTGTGTGATTTATTAGCTTGTTTACCCGTGGGGACCTCAATTTAGGTCCCCACCATGACACGAGTCCCCATGAGTCTGTGTGTATTCAGGTTTAAGTCCCCACTAGGATATATAAACCTGTACACACACACACACTGCTGTTCCGCTGCTGGACACTGAGAGCGCTGCATGTGTGTGTGTGTGTGTGTGTGTGTGTGTCAAGTCAAGTCAAGTCCCTTTAGTGGACTTTGCTATCCTAGGTACTACCAAAAGTCCAGAGTTTTGCGACCTTAGGGAGCGTGATGGATTGTAGCGTGGTAGAAGACTAGTTAGGTACGCAGGAGCTAAACCATTAAGGGCCTTATAGGCTAGTAATAATGTTTTGTAACTGATACGGAACTTAATAGGTAGCCAGTGCAGAGACTGTAAAATTGGGGTAATATGATCATATTTTCTTGACCTGGTAAGGACTCTGGCTGCTGCATTTTGGACCACCTGTAGCTTGTTTATTGAAGATGCAGGACAACCAGCTAGCAGTGCATTACAATAGTCCAGTCTAGAGGTCATGAATGCATGAATGCATGTGTGTGTGAGAGAGAGCAAGAACAGAAGAAAGTTAACATGCTAAATTGGCCTAGTAAAAAAGCCACATAACAGTCAAGAAATCATAAAAGAAGACTAATAAAATAAAATAAAATAATCAGTAAATCAATAAATACAGAGGGGACAGACAAAAAAAGAGGCTTTTCAGCAAGTTTAAGTTTCTCTGTTCACACACACATTTTGCTTCCGGCTTCGCTACCTTTAGGACGCTCTTGCTTACTGCTCCGCGCTTTGCTCTCTGTTTATGTATTTTTCTCAGATTTTTCTAAGATTTTAACTTCAGCAGAAGAAGTGCTCAAACAACACATTTTTGGCACAAACACTAAACTAAAAACTCTTCGGGACTGGAATAATACCACGAAAAAGAAGACTCTTTGCCTCCCACTGCCAGCAGCTTACATTCTGGAGACGGGAAACACCGCTGCCTACATTCAAACAGAAGAGAAAGAAAATGCCTCTCGTGGAATCTACTTGCTGCATGAACTGCCACAGACTTCTACAAAGGATTGCGGTTCTTGAAACAAAGTTACTTGCTAGACTTCCAAAACAGGCAGAACACTCAGCAGACCGTCGTCACGGACCCCCTCAGCATACAGCCGGTGAGTCCTGTGAATCTAGTGAATCTCAACAGTTTATACCAAGTGTAGAGGAACAAGCCGAAATTGATCGACACACTAATCGATGGCACAAACAGGGAGCGAGACATCAGATTGTCACGAGTTTCTCGTATTGCTGCTGTAGCATCCTCTACCCAAGATACGGCTATGACAAGGCTTGCAAACACTGGTATTCTACCACCCCCTATACATCTTGAGAACAGATTTGAAGCATTAATGAATGCGGGTGAGGAATCCCCAAATGTGATTAAACATGGATTGGATCAGCCAGCAGCTAACATCGCTACTAACAGGCGCTCAAGATCGAGCAGACAGCGGCTTTCAGCTCAGAGCGCAGCCGAGCCCAGGACTCTGATAGTGGGCGACTCTATTATCAGAAACATCAGTAGCAGAAATTCAACAACATGCTGCTTTCCTCAAGCAACAGTTTCTGATATGAACAAGGAACTTTGGAACATTCTGATGAAGCACAAGACTGCAAATCAAATCATCATCCATGTGGGGAAGAATGATATTCGGAAAGAGCAGTCAGAACTCCTTAAGAAGGGTTTCTGTGAACTCTTTGAATCAGTCGTTCATCAGTGGACCACACCCAGCAAGGGTAACTAACATGTTTTCACGGTTGCTTGGGCTGAATACATGGCTACAAAAAACCTGCAGTATAAAACAACATTCGCACTCT